AGAGTTTGTCAAGGAGAAATGCACTGAGGAAGGTATGGTGTACGATGCTTCGTGTGAGTATATATACATATGAGAGTTTGTCAAGGAGAAATGCACTAAGGAGGGTATGTGGTAGGATGTTTAGTGGGTGTATATATATGACTATACTCGACACCTTCATGCTTGCTGTTGTCCATAGGAAGTTACATACGTATGAATGTGCCTGCTATGTGGGAGTATATACAAATATACGAATGTACTTGTACATAAATACACTCGATACCTTCATGCATGCTGTTGTCCTTGGGAAGTTACATACGTATGAATGTACCTACTGCGTGGGGGCATATAAATATGCACGAATGTGCTTGTGCATGACCACACTCGACACCTTTATGCATGCTGTTGTCCTTGGAAAGTTATATACGTGTGAATGTGCCTGCTATGTGAGAATATATACAAATCTATGAATGTACTTGTATATGACCACACTCGACACCTTCATGCACGCTGTTGTCTTTGGAAAGTTATATACGTATACCTGTCACCCGTGTCTGATCCTGTCGTACGCGTTAACCTTATCAGCGGCCAAAAATGTACTGGAAGCCGAGTATGAGCTGCTCAAGAATACGGCGGAGAATGTGCGCACATTGAAGGTGGTGACTATTGCGCAGGAGTACCTGCCTGGGAACTGTAAGGCGGTGATTGAATACATCAAGAAGTGGTGGCGGGGCGGCGAAGGTGAGGAGAATTAGTGGGCTACAGTGGGTTACCAAACAAAACTAGTTTACAATGGAGGAGAATTAGTGGGCTACAGTAGGATACCATGGGAGGACTCTGGTGCACAAACTAGTTTACAATGGAGGAGAATTGGTGGGCTACAGTAGGGTACCATGGGAGGACTCTGATGCACAAACTAGTTTACAATGGAGGAGAATTGGTGGGCTACAGTAGGGTACCATGGGAGGACTCTGATGCACAAACTAGTTTACAATGGAGGAGAATTGGTGGGCTACAGTAGGGTACCATGGGAGGACTCTGGTGCACAAAACTCGTTTACAATGTAGGAACCCCTGTGTAGAAAACTAGTTCACAAGCGAGGCAACTACTTGACAATAGAACTTACTAGCGGTGAATTGCGCGCTGGAGCATGTGCCAGGCAATTGCTTAGCTGCTATTGAATATGGCAAGATATTTTGGCAGGTCAGCGGAAAAATAGCAAACTGGGAAAAAACTAAGATTTATTCTCAGGGTAGAAAACCAATCGATGATTGAGAAGTCAGTGCCAGGCTATTGCGTAGCTGAACCCAAGTACATCACGAAGTTATGGAGCGGTGGCCAAAACAAGGCAGACAAGGAACACTATTTCACCAGCGAAGAATTAGTTAGGAAAACTGTTTCGCCAGAGAAGAATCAGTTAGGAACACTATTTCGAAAGAGAAGAATTAGTTAGCAAAACTGTTACTAGTTGCCTCTGAATAACCCGAGAAGTGGTGGCTGGGCGGCGAGGGGGAAGAAAGCTCGTCGCCACTTGTGAACACTAGTTCATAATCGAGACAACTAGTTCACAATTGAACCAAAAAAACCCTAGTTACGATGTAGGAGATCACGATTTGCGATAGTGAAAACTATTCCACAATGGGAAATACTAGTTGTCATGGTATGAGACCACATGGCGACGGGAGAAAGCAAACCGCAACCGAACAAACTGGATAATGTGAGCCAACGCGAATGGGTTCGATAGAGTGGGCTACGCCGGGACGGCAGAAATGGACTACTACTGGTATACACTCTGAGTATACACTCTGAGTGGTTGGGGAGTTAAATAGACGGGCCACGTACGGGTGAGGCAGAGCCATATCTCTGTCTATCTATGTAAATACATCGCTCTCGAACTACGCCAGTATCACTCGGGAACGTCCTAGGAAAGTGTCAGCCTTCTCCATGCGACAAAGGCTCACCTATAAATCGATGACAGACCGTGACATATGTGACATGACAT